CCAAGAACTACAGCTGGTTGAACAGAGCCCATCCACCTTCTTAGTAGGATTAGGGGATAATCCTTTTCCTCAGGGGTCACAGTTCATTTTTCTATCACAGACACATTACTGTCACTCTAGGGTGCAGGATTACTGAGTCCGTGTTATGCAGCTTTCGACCGCACAAAGAACATACCAGAAACGGTAATGACACCCAAAATGCAGCCATCACCTAAAATGGGGCAGCGTAACAGACTTTGAGCTAGGATAAACTCTACTGCATCAGTAGGAACGGCTGTGGCTCTTTCCGTTCACTCTGAACGGCTGAAGAAATAAATCCCATTCGGCCCACTGGATATCCACACGCGTGGAAAGCTGCCGTCCCTATGAATGAGGGGGGTTCCCAGAGCACAGGAGCCTAGCTGGTGACAACAGCAGTAGTTAGAGCCCATGGATGGGAGCAGGAAAAGAAAGTTAAAAGGGAGAGACTTTCTTAGGAAATCGAAATGCGAGATGTGCAAAAATATGGTATTACCATGTATATAAAAACAAACCGAAGTCATTAAAATGGGCTTAGTCTAACTTCCTTCCAAAAGTTTTGCCCTCAGTTAGGCCACCTCTAGTTCACTGATCATGCAGGAACGGAAGTGCTGGGACCCTACAGGCCACTTCATAAAACTAACACCGTGCAGCCTCTCAAGAGCTGTATCTCCTGAATACAAAAGATCAAAAGATTTTTTTGTTTTCTTTACAGGAATGAGGGGGCATGAAGACTATTCTTACTGTGCAAAAACACTTGCCCTCTTTCTTGTGTAACAGTGATTCACAGACTGAGGCTAAAGAACCTTGTTCTTATGATCATCGTATCTATTCCAAGAGAGACCAACTTATTTTTCTGGCAAGAGTATCCCTACCACATGCTGTTACTAGCAGTTCTTGCCTCAGATCACTGGTTATGGACAAGAGCTTCAAAGTTTTAATGTTCTTGTAGCGGAGGCCAGTGACTGCTCCTTCTGTCCCCTATGCAACAGCTACTATTGCAGTGTTATTCCTATAGCTACCTTACTTTTCCCCCTTTTTCTGTACATAATGCCTAACTCAGTTCTGCTCCAACAGTCTTCATTTCCTCTACTAAGAGCGACATAGTACCACAACTATCTAAAGCAAAATCAAAAGTGGTGCCTTACTGTATCAATAAGGATGATTTGGCAGTGAACATTATGCAATTTTCCATCGTCTCTCAGATCAGACCGCCTCAGCTTTCATCACAGGATGTCAGAAATCCAGATTTCTACCCAATGATTATGCCAAAAGTACTTTTAGTTTTTCTCTTTGAAGATAATTGTCTTTCACTGTGACTAACTCTATCTAGATGTTCCTCCACAGCCACATCACTGACTTTGCCTCCCTAAGAAGTAAAGCAAAACCAGTTTTGACCAACAATGAGTAATCTAAAGGAACTTCCAGTGTTTTTTGGAACAACTATATGCTATATTTTCCTTATAATTATCTCAGGGCAAACTGCAGTAACATATCCATGTACTACAGTGCCACCCAGCGTCAACATTTAAGAAGATCATGCCACATGAACAGTCTTTCGCCTCAGTTGTCACCAGGCAGCAGACAGGCACTCATGAGCGTCTACCTGCAGTTGCTGTGACTATGCGCAAAGCTGCTGCTGAAACGCTCCCTTGTGTTTCTCACTTGTCCAGCTGTCATCGCTCAGCAAGCACGTACGCTTTAGTTAAAACTGACTGACGGGCATGCACGACATTAACCTCCACGCATGGAATAGATGGGGAGGAAGCCACCTTTCCTTCAGGATGCACAAAAACGAGGACGATCAGTTTCCTTGGCCTGCTAAATGCCTTCTCTAGTCCTTTTAAAATTACAAGATAAACGTCAGCTTGTGTCTAGAAATAAGGAGAACTACAATATTACTGAACATCGGAAGAAATTCACAGCTTCTGCTACATACTACACGTTACAGACCATGGACTGCTGGATGTTTGCAACTCGTTGCCTTAAAATGGTTCTCCAGGAAAGCCGAACACTGGGGTTACTCCCCGGCCCTGAGCACTGAACTTACTGGTGTTCGTTTCTACTAAACTGTCCAGGCCAAACTGAATACAGGACTTCTTAGGCATCCCATCCCCGGCATGAAGACTAGTACCCTTAGCTAAGAAGAGCTTTGCAAATCTATACTGCTTTAGAAGGAGCCAGCATTTAACAGCAGTAAGGAACGCAAAGCACAGAGTGCATCAGGTGTCCCACATCTTTTAGGTGGAATTCAGGAAAAAAGTCATCTTTTGAGAGTAGGTACCACAGTGCCCGAGAGTTGTCACCAAAATCACCTCTTGACAACGACTGTGAAGGATCGTCTCTACAGAGTGGTGCCCAAGCTTTATAAGCCAGCCCAGTGCTTAGGACACCTGCCCAAAAGTTGGGTTTCGAGGCCTTCCACAGCCTAAGCCGACCCAAACCCACATCTCTGACTGCTCAGGGCATCTTTTGGCCATCCCTCCTGTTGAAGCTGAGCACTTAGTAGAAAGGAATTGCTGGGGCCTCTCATCACTGCTCTCAGGGCTCTGTTTTGCATCCACACACTTTCTGTTTCATAAACTTCCCTGGGAACAGGGACCAAATCCCACAATTGCAACTTAACGCGCTCTCTCTCATACACACACACACTCTCACGTTTTTGGGCACGCACCCTCTGTGTTAATTTTCCACTTGCTTTTCCTGAGCATGTGACTCCTTTACTCCTTTCGTGATAGTCACCTGACCCCCAGAAAGAGGGGGGAAAACATGCTTTATACAACTGGCATGTGATTAGGATTCTCTCCTGGATTGTATGTTATAAATCCGTTCAGTGAAGGGAGGCAACTCCTCTCCGTCGTTCATTTCCTGAACAGAATGGGTGCCTGTCCCACCCCCCTGCTGCCTTTGGGCCACAGGAAAGGAGCTCCCAAAGCCAGAGCAGACATTCAGCAACAGGGCTCTCTCTCGCTGTTAAGAGCCCTGAACTACTCAGTAAAAGGAGATCAACCCCTGCTTTTGAAGGACAAGACCACAAAGGTGACAACGGTAACAAGAGTTACAGCCAAGCCCTCTGATATAGTTATTCCCTCTTTTTAGCCCTAGTCTTTATTCTTGGGTGATTTTTGCTTATGCCCACAATGGGCATAACATGCATATCTTATATGCATAAATAAGCAGATCTTCTCCTCACCTCTGAGCAAAGATC